GAGAGGGAGGGCCGCGTGGAGACGGCTACGGCAGGGCACCTGTGGCCTCCCTGGAGGAGCACAGCCAGCGTAGGCCTGGCAGGAAGGACCGAAGTGGTGACTGTGGACCATGGTCCTCCTGGCCGGCCTCACCTCCCAGATGCTCAGAGAATCTCAGCAGGCCAGCCTTCTGGGAAGCAGAGCGTCTAGAAGGGGCTCTGGAGGATGAGCAGCTGCGCAGGAGCCTTCTGCCTAACAGGGACTGCGTTTAATCAGGCAGGTGCTGCCCCAGATGCTCGTTCAGCCTTTAGTCACTGCTCGGCACTGCCTGCTTGGATCTGGCTGAGGCCTGAAGACAGGGCAGAACTAGGGGCTCCCTGCTGGTGGAGCTAGGACTGGGAGATCTTGAACATTGTTGACCCTCTCTCGTAAGTCCCATTTTGTCCCTTTATTTTCCAAGTCTGACTACATTCTACCCAAATAACCTAACTTTCCTGAATCTTTTCCCTGTATCTCTGAATTTTTCTCTTGTTGTCACAAACAACTATATTCTGCTTCAGTGTGGCATCCTGTTAGCCAGCCAGGAACAGCTCTGCTGAGGAAAGCTAATGATCTCAACAGATGTGGATATGATTTTATCACATTAAGTATTTAAAAACAAGAGACACAGGTGAGAAAAATAACTTTTCTTCTACAAAAAATAGTAAAAGTGAAGGAGCCTAGAAAGGTCTACCTTGACTCCGTATACCTGTTCATATCCAAACAAATTGCCTTCTACCCGGGCTAGAAGCAGTTCTCAGAGTAAGGAAGGCACCATTAAAGATTTCAAGGTTGTTCCATCAGTGGATTCAGTGTAAGGGCCCTTGTTGCTATAACTTGAAAGAATTGAAAGTGTTCTTGAGCAAATGTAAGAACATTCGCCGTCTTGGTCATTTATTCCTATGGCCAGAGCAATCTTACTGTTGATATTTCCATTCCCACACTGCAAAGGAGAGACCCTCGTGGTTTGGAATCTTCCTCTCAGCTTTGCTAAATGCTTATACTCTTGGTCTCCCACTGGCCGGCCTCCAAGCAAACAGGCCTGAAAGGACCCCTCTCGAGAGGCCAGATGTTCAGAAATAGCAACTGTAAGGGTAAGGAACTGTTGCATTTACCAGAGAGAATGTCTACCAAAGGGGAGATAAGCTTTTCCACTCAGCAGAAAAGAGAAGAGCTCTTTTGAAGTTGTCTGAGGGACACGTGCATTTGGAACATCAGAGTCATAGATATGACCATATTGGAAATTAGCATTGCTAATGAGGTTTTCAGAGACTCACAGATCATTTTAATCTACTTAACCTTCTCTATAAATACTCAAGAGAGCCTGGACTTCTATTTTTAATAGTCTAATAATGGACTGATGTTATTTTTAAGGCAGTAGCAACAATGCTAACATCATTTTTCAAAGAACAATCAAATACTGGCATGTTGCTTTATTTTTTGTCAGATCAAATTTGGTGTTACAGAGTGGCAGCCAGCTGCCTGAACTAACTGATAAAATGGAAAGTGAAGACAGTCTAAGTGGCTGCCTGACAGGAGTATTTGTTCTCCAGTGACCAGTGTCTGTGTGGGCCCAGGTGAGTTGAACATTGGAACTCAAGTTTTGAAGGACCATTGGTGAGTATAGTTTACAAGAGGAGGTCTCCGCCATCTTTGACATGGTCTCCTTTTTAACAACCCTGCCAGAGGGTTCCCCGAGTGAAAGGGAAGGCCAGTCTGTATTCACACATACAAGTGGGTTACCTGTCCTCTTCATCTACCCCGAATTTCGAGGCTGAGTTCCTTTGATGAACCTAGGCTTCTTTTCTGCCCTCCGAAGTCTCATGTATTCTCACGTTGGCTCACTAATTTGATTTTTTATTTAGTTTTGCTTCCAGGGATCAAACTCAGGACTTTGCGCTTGCGAGACAGGCACAGTGTCACTGAGCTAAGTCCCCAGCCCCAATCCATCATTTATCCACCAAATATCTATTGAGGCTGGGGATTTAGCTCCCTTGCAAGTGCAAGGTCCTGAGTTCAATCCCCAGTTCCCCTCCAAATCTATTGAATACCTCCTATTATGTGCCAAGTGCTCTACTGAGCACTGAGAAGACACTCTCCTAAATGCATCATGCCTTGGAGACACTTACCACTTAGAAGAAAGGAGATCATAAATGAGCAAATGTATAAGCTAGCATTTATCAGGTAGTACAAAGTGCAAAAATAATAAAAAGAAGCCGTAATACACCCAAAAGCACAGGGAACTGACTGGAGACAGGAGAGGCTTTTTCGAGGTTAGGTGGGCAGGGACTCTCCAAAGCGTGGAGCGTAGCGCTAAAGAGAAAACGACAAAGGATGAGAACAGGAAAAGGTCTGCCGGGGAGAGCAGAGGTAGGGCAGGCCCGTGGGCCTGAGAGCTGAAGGACAGGGCTGGAATTAGATAGAATCCAGAAGGTGATGGAGCCAGGTCAGAAGGCTTTGAAGGCACAGAAGAGTCTGGGTTCTCCTTTAAGCCTGCTGGACAGTGACTGAGTGTTTTCCTCTGATGAGTGACAGGATTCAACTCGCGCCCCAAGGGCTCAGTGTCGGTTATGTCTGGAGGGTGACTTACAACAGTACAGTGGAAGGAGACCATTGTGGCTGGGTGGTAGCAGGCAAGGCTTAGAGGATGTGAGCGTGTCATCTGGAAAGAAACACAAGGCAGGAAAAGCGAACTTGACCAGAAAAGTAGACCATACCCGTTAGCCTTAGTCTACTACTCAAAGGGACTCTCATCCTCTAGGGACCTTCCAGGAGATGCTTCAATTTAAACCTGAGACAGATCGAAACACAGAGAGATCCAGGGGCATGCCTAGGGCCACAGGAGATTACTGACAAATCCAGGGCGGGGCCACGCTCCTCCTCCTCCTCCCCCTCCCCCTCCTCCTCTTCTTCGTCCTCATCCTCCTCGGGCCTGAGTGAAGGGCCCACATCCACATGGAACCCAGCCAGGCTGGGCATCAGCTTGCCAGCCTCCTAGTTTCCGTGGTGTGGATTCACGTGGTGGGCACAGCCCGGGACTTATCACAGGGCCTGTGTGTCCTCCGTGGATACGTTGTGCCGGGTACTGAAGGAATAGCAGTGTGGACGCCTGCGTGTGGCAGCCAGAGCAGAGTGGTTGGCAGCTGGATGACAGCGTCCACTAGGCTGAAGCCGGCTTCCCTAGTCATCCAGCGGAGTGTGGACTTCCTGGGAGCCCCTCACTCTTGGGTCTTGGTCTCCTCATCTCTCAGTTGGAACAAAAGAAGTAACTTCATAGTTTAGTGAGGCTCAAATCAAATGAAATATCAAAAAACCCACTTACAATGATTCCTGGAACATGGTACACACTGTTATGCAGGAGACATGTTTCCTTTGGGTGAGGTGGGGTGTGAATATTCGAAGCTGACAGAATTACTTGGGGCCCTGCCACTCGGGCGCACGGCTGGACAGAGCAAGAGCAGCCTCTTGACTGGGACAGCCAGCTCCTCGCCTGCCGCCCACGGGGGCGGGGCCGTCCTTCGTTCACTCCTTCCTTCCCGTGCTCCGCGCGTCCTGTGGAGCGCTGACCAAAGCCCTGGTCCTCGGCCTCTTGGCTGGCTCCAGACTCATACTTCGTCACTCTGTCTCTGGCACGCAGTGACTTCTTGTGAGCGCAGGAGAGGCGGCGCTGTAAGCGGGGTCGCAGAGGGTACAGTACAGAGCAAGTGCTAATGCTCAGAGGGAGCCAGGGGGCGCGAGCAGGCTGGCACCCAGCCTAGTTTGCGTGTCTGTCCTGTCTGAGCTGTTTTATTTCTTTTCCACACCTTCCCACCAGCAGCTCTGAAGTGTGACCGTGTCCATCTTACAGATGGTAAACTGAGGCTGACCTGGAGGGGCTGCCCCGGTCGTGTGACTGGTAAAGGGAGGGCCAGGGCTAGAGTCCAGATTGCTTGGCTCATCACCACTTTTCTTTTTGCTTTCTTTCTTGTTTTTCTTTTTGGTGTGTTTGGTACCCTGTCTCCTCTCCCTCTCTGGGTTACTGTGTGCACAGAAAAAGGAAGACATGGGGAGAGAGAGAGACAGAGAGAATGGTGATAGAGACTGTGTGTGTGTGTGTGTGTGTGTGTGTGTGTGTCTGTGTGCCGTGTGAGAGAGACAGAGGCAGGAAGACAGGGACCCATCAAAGACCCAGGGCAGACCGCAGTAGTAACCACCTGTTATGAGCATGTGAGTTGTGGCAGGGCCATCACCTGCTACACAGGTGACAGGAGACACCCCCAGGCCAGCACCTGAGTGAGCCGGGCCCTGCCAGGAGAGAGTGAGACCCAGCTTCCCCTGCCTGCGCTGGGAGGGTGGCCCCCGGTTTTACCTCAAGGAGAAGGGTGCGCACCCTGGGGCAGGCATCCCCAAAACATCCCCTCAGGGCACCAGGATGCAGCCCCTGGAATAGAATAAGCTCAGCTCCTTTCTACAGCAGGGAGAAAAAAAAAAAAAAAAAAAGACCCAAGTCACATTTAAACCTCTGAAACCTAATTGTGAGATTTTGCAAAATGCTTTAAGTAACACTTGTGTGATAGATGAGCACCCGAGTTGTCATTTCTCCTTTGCCATCTCTGCAGCCTGAAAGCCCCGATCCCAGTGCCATCACCTTAATCATTATTTATGGATAGTGTGGATAGTGTATGAATTCCCCAAAAGGGGATCATGCTAACACCCATGCATTTCCAAAAAAACGAGGGCAATTTTTTTTGTAATAAACATACCAACATTTACCTAATCTATGCAAATCTATTCATAAGGATTTTATAGAACTGCTGTTTCCCCTGCACCCTCAACAGGCAAAGCCCAGGCTCCTTGCATCTCCCAGTTTGTTTTCAGCGCTGCTGTGAGGGAGGAAGGGGCTGTCTTTGCAGCGAGCTCCTGCAGAGTGGCCCCGCACGGCCAGAGTGGGCTCGCCATGGTGGGAGCCAGCTCCCCACAAAGCAGGCAGCAGCTTGCCAGCGGGAAGTATCGGCTTCCTGTTCTCGGCCGTGGGTTGTCACTGTCTACTAATATGACCGCTGTGCCATCTCTCCACAAATAAGGCAGAAGCTGCTACCTGATTGGTAACATCTCACTTTCCTGCACGTTGATTTCCTTGCTCTCCTCCTTTCTTCATAAAAAGAGGGACAAGTGGCTGGTGCTGTGGACAGAAAAGCTTCAATTTTAGTATGAGACAGTCTCTCTCTTCTTTCAGGAGAGGGAAGTTGGATTATCAATTCTTTTGTAAATGTGTATGGTGATATTTGCTCCGGTAAGTTTCTCTCTCTTGATTTACAGTCGGCTGGGTGTGTGTGTGTGGGGGGCATGTGCATAGGTACATGTGGGCTGTACACTTTTCTTTCCAAATATGATTTTTGATATCTGTAGCGATGCGTCTTGTTTTAACTCTGCTTTCTTTTATTCATATGTTTAAACCAATGAGGCTATGTTATGTGATGGTGTGATGCTTACAGTAGCTGTGGAAGTGTATGCTGGATTTCTCTTAACATAGTAAGGAAACTATTGAGCAAACTTACATTTGGTTTTATAAAAATGAAATGTCATTTTACTCCAGCCTTCCCTGGGAGGATTTACTGTCCTAAGTACATGGCTTTGCTACAAAATGCTTACCATTTTAAGTTCCTTCATCAGTGTCAGAGTAGGAATGGCTTAAACTCCATAAATAACTACCAAATACTGGATGCTGTGTTGGAAGATGTGTACTCGTTTCCTAAGGTCTTACCCAAGGTAAAAGCAATGAGACGAGTTTGCCCTTTGTGCTGGGGATGGGCACCTTTGTAAGAACTGAATTTTTGTACAAAAGGTATTCGGATACTTAAAGTGAATCTGTTGCGTTCCTTGAAAAGCTGGATCCCAAGTGTTGCTCCTCCAGCCTTTCTTTGCATTATGTATTTGTGCTGCCATCTGTTAAATGCCCAGCCCTGGAGCTGGTGCTTCTGTAGCTGAAGCTTATCAGGGGGAAAGTTGCTCTTATTAAATTCAGACCAGGGCAGGATGGCTGTCTGGTCACCTCTGCTTGGAAATGGTTCCTAAGTGTCCTACCTGCTTACCCCTTGTTTTCATTCTGTAAGCAGAAGATGCTCTGATTTCTTTGTTGTTAACTCCAAAGTCTGGTAGAAAGTATTGATATAGTTACCCTAGACAGAGATGATAGGATGATTTACAAACTGATGCTCCAGTCTGCTCTCTTTTTGTTACACAGTCAACAAAATCTGCACGGCATTTTTCAGGGGAAAACGAACTGGAGAATGTAATGAAAGTTAAGAACACTGTTGGATGTGAACCACGAAAAGGGCTCACAATTCAGAGATTTTGAAAGTAAAGTTGGGAATTTCACATATGCCTAAGCTCATAGGTATCAGTTCTTTTTCATAGTAGCAGTTTTCTGATTCTGACACCGTCTCGGGCAGCTCTTGGGAACAGCTGCCTGTGTCTGGGAGTGCAGTGACCCCTGTCTGCTGCCTTCTGGGCATTCTGCAACCTGTGCCTTTGTACGCTGCAGAAACTTGCTCATTCTGACAGACTGACTCTGGATTAATCCAGCTCAGGTTCAAAAGTCGATAACTCTCTCAAACCCAGCTAAAGTTTTATATTGCCTTGCTATCGGTCCCTCTTAGTGTGTTTCCAGTAGCAGACTTGCGTATCGTAACCCCATCTGGAACCAAGTATTCCTCAGCAGAGAGCTGAAAACACAACACAACTTTCCTTGAGCTCTTGCAGTGAGTGTTAAGCGAACTCATTGGTGTTGAACAGCCCCCAGCACACACAACTGATTTCCAGCCTCTCGTAACGTTTTCAGTCATCACCCTCCTTTCTCAGGTTGTAACAGGTTGCATAGGAAATCGTTAGTCCCCGGGGGAGTTTCATCATCTCACAATGTTCAGTACTGTCCACTGACGCAGTTCAGGAGGGCTGGCATCAGCAAGTAGACTGCCAGTCTGTGGGAGGGTTCGGCCGGCAGGGCAGGCTGGGACCCACAGACGTGGGGAGGACAACTGCACACCCACGTCTTAAAGGGCTCAGGACCCTTAGGTTGTGTTGGGGCAAATGTGCAGTCTTTCAAGGTATCACCTCCCCCAAAATCCAGAATGCCATACCCAGAAAATATGATGTCATCTATTTAGAGGAATTAAATCTGTGCACATTGGGAGAATAATAGAATCTTAAAAAAAAAAACATTCACAATGTAATCATCCATTCTATTTGTTTTAGCAAAACAAAGAAGGCAATAGTCTCCACTTAAAAAGCACCCAGTGTATACCCAGCACTGTGCTGGGCACTTACGTGGCTTCGCTCTTTAACCCTCACAGCCACCCCCGAGGGAGGTAGCACCACTTCCCAGGTTGCCAGGGAAGAGAGTGGAGGCAGGGTAGGGGTGGAACTTGCTGAAGGCAGTGTGGTACTGGAATGAGACCCGGAACTGTAGCACGTTCTCTGCAGATCAGGCTGCAGTTCTCCCCTTTGACAGGGCTTTTCTTTGTCTGTGAGCCCACAGCAAATTCCTGGACAAGAAGGATCCATGGGAACTTTCAGCCATACGCTGTATTTCTATTAGCGTTTGCCCCCTTTGACATCACATCTTCCTTCTCCTCACACTGTGCCTTGGTAACTGCAAGCTAATTACGTGTTGCAAGCTGAAGAATGCATGCTTTATTTCCACTCAGTCGGTGCAGCTCCCAAGATGTGGATGTCATGAAAGTGAGCCAGCCTCGGGAGAGAGAAGACAGAGTGGCTAAAGGACGGTAGCTTTTTAAATTGGCCCAAATAAATCTCTGTCCTTCAGTCTTTTAAATTTAAAGTCAAAATAAAGATGCCAAAGTAGCTTAGAAATATCGGTGTCTTAATGTATCTGGCTCATCCTGGATGCAAAATAGAAAAAGCAATTCCAGATGAATTGATTTACTTGTGGAGAACTTGATAGGATCTTGTCTGCCTTTTATTCACACCCCCTCTCCCAAGATTTTCTTGCTGTGCCTTGGCCAGCTAGAAAGGGCCTAGGTGGCACTTGTTGGAGAATATTACAAAGCACCTGTAGCACCCAAGTGATTAAAAATGAACATAGCTGTCGATGAGGTAGCTTAAAAACATGGCAAAGTAGAAACTGCAAGTCCTCAAATGCATTCCTGTACACCTGAGCCCTGGGCTCACTTTTGAAATCCATTTGTGCCAATAAAATCCAGATGAATCTCACAGAGGAAAAACGTAAATAACACAGAAAAAAAGATGTTTGAAATTTCTCCTGCAGCCAGTTTTCAGGCTGGATGGAGGGCACCCAGTCATGGCTGAGTCTGGGAAAGGCTGCATTCCCTTCCCTCCCATGAGACGGAAATCATGAGAGGGCATTATGAGTGGTGACAGTGCTGCAACACAGTAGCTGCTGTGTTTTACCAAAGCCAGCAGAATAAAAAACAAAACAAAACAAAAAAAACCCATCCCCAAACGGGAGCACCATCACATTTGAAGCGGTTATCACAATATTGATCTGCTACAGCAAGTTAGTGACAGCTTTTGAGGCCCTGCCTGTGTAGATACCTAGCTTACGAAGAAAGAGTTCAGAACACAGCACACAATAAAATACATTTCCAATTCAGTCATTTTTGTCAGAGACGAGCTTGGTAAGTCACAGGTGCCATGTCATCTCTTTCCTGTTCTTGAGAAAAATTGTAATTGCTGGTCTCATCAGAAAGTGTGGCATTAGAGCCAGTCCTGATAAGGAGGTTTAAATCAGTTTGCTTTTTCTAAGAACGTCTGTGAGGGTTCTCAGTGTACCGAAGGCCATCAGACGAGAGCTTCCACTTCAGTGAATTGTGCTGTGCTCAGGCACAGGACTCATCCAGTGTGGGCTGTTCTTTAAAACTAATCTTAGTAGTTCAATCCCCGGTGCCAAAAAACAAAACAAAACAAAACAACACTAATCTTAGAGATGGTTCTATAAAGTGTATCACTTCTCAGTCTGTAGCTGGCAGGAATTGCCCTCTTCAAAGCGGTAACTGAATCCTAAATAAATCACAATAGAGAGCATCTCCCACCTGACCTGCTTTCTTCTGCCATTTCTTTGGCAGATGTGTGCACTTCAACATACTGATCGATAAGTGCTTTAAAATAATCCATTAGGTAGGGAGGAAGCCGCTGACGCTAAGATACGGCTCGTGTTGGACTTGGTCTCGAATGTGTCACCGAAGGCTGATGTGCAGATAGGACCAGTGTGCTGCCGCACACTTGTATGAGAAAATAGAGCCTGCGAGTATTCTGAGCTCGGAATCGGTATGAGGAATGGTACTGACTCCTCTGCCAGAGGCTCTCGGTCCTTGGCGAGCCTTCAGACGTCCACAGGAAAGGGGCGAGTTGGAAGTGGAAACACCTTGGTATCTGTGCCGTGCAGAGTACCGGACTGCATAGTTGATGTATTTTATAGTGATCATTTTTAAACACAGATTCCAGCCAAAAGCATTAATGGAAAAGCATTCAGGGGCAACTCCAAACACCTCCTCTACACTTCTGGAGCGCCGACTCCCAGGACAGGACGGTCAGGCCACTGAGGGCCTGGGGCAGCTGTGCAGAGGGGACTGCGGCTCTGTGCTTCTCTGGGGGGCAGCTGTGCCAGGCAGGAGATCTGTCTCCCATCAGCTCCGGTGGCTGCTGTGGCTCTCCTTACAGCATTCTTAAATCCTCCCAAATTGCCACAGATCGTTCCAGTGTAGACTTTCTGGAGAAAAGACGACACATATTTTAGGGTTAGTTTTATTTCTGGTAAAATGTGGCTCTAGAAACATTTGTGTCCAACCTGAATTATTGCTGCAAAGACTAAGGCACCATAGCGACGTGCGCCTCTCCATGTGAGCCCCCAGGTCCCGCGGGCTTTAGCAAAATGGATCCAGCTGTTCAAAACCTGTGCCTTCCAAACCATCTCTGCACAAAACCGGGTCAAAGGCAGAACAGTGTGTAATGGGAAGGAGCTTTGAGGGAAGGGTCGGAACACTGGCTTCTGCAGGTTGTCCTTTCCCTGGACAAACACTGAGAAATACCTGTCCTGTGCAGGGCACGGTGAGAGGCACGGAGGTTGGGCCAGAGCTGAGCGTCTTCGTTTTCCATTTCTCACCTAAACCTGTTTCCAAGTCATCACCCAGAATGTGTCTTCTTAAAGGCATAATTGAACGTTTTCAGGAAGTATGTGCTTTTGGCCTTACCTGTTCACACTCCGTGAAAGAACAAGAGGGATCCATTTATTTGCTGATGTGATTACCGTCTGCT